AATTCCTTTCCATCGCCGGGCCAAAAGGAATTTAAAAAAATAGTGGAAATTCAGGGTGGAGTTTAAACGGCTGATTTTTCTATCATGGAAACGAGTCGCGGTAATGGAAAGGGAATAATAATGATCCGAGAGGAGACACGTTGTACTAAATACGATTGGATATATCGACGGTGGTGCGAGCGATATTTTGTAATTGGAGTTGATCATTGTTCGGCGAACGAATGAGAGAACGCAGAGAATGCGAGGTGAGATACTGAGTGCATTAGACGAGTAAATAGTTCATGATAAAGATTCTACGCGGGAGTAAAATGCAAAGGGAATAATAATGATCTAAGAGAAAGAAGCCACCATATGAATATTTTATGATTGAAGGTAATAATTAATCAGTGAACGGAATAAAACAACCGAGAGCGAACGGGGGATACTCAGATATTAAGTACACGTGACGAGTAAATAGTCCATGATAATAAAAATTCACCTCTTACGCGGAGGAATCAAACCAACCCCCTAACGTTTACGATCCACAGGAATTCGACGTCAGAGAGAAAAATCCCGCGGCCGTCACGTGAACTATTATTTCGGTATTGGAAGGGATGCGTCGGCGTCGCTAACGAGCCGTAAAGACGGGCGCGGGACGAAAGATGGGACAACGGAGAGCAAAGGTGAGGGCAAAGGGGGCCACGAAGGGCGGCACTGCGAGCATGTCGCGAAGTTTAAACAGCTTAGAGGGATGTTGCGGCGCCCCCGATGCTCGGGGCGCCAAGTCAGCCGGAAACCTCTAATAGCCCTGTCTCGTCTACATACAAAAGGAGAGAGGGATGGGCGGCGGTGGGCAGGGAACGGAGGACAGACGGAGATAGAGTCCACAGGCGCACGGCGAACGCGGCCACAAAGGTGGCTGTATAGGTTGCACGGTTGTATCTCGCAGGGTATACGATAACCGCACCCTCGAGGTGAGTTTGAGGGAGACGTTCGGCCAGGTATCCCTACATTAGAGCCACCGCTAAATTCATAATACGCCGCCGGCTACGCGCGCCGTATCTCTTTCCTGTTTATAGAGCTGTCCCGCGTTCTGTCCCTTTTGAACCGCAAACTGGCGAGCGTTCTATCTTCTTCGGCAAAGAAGTGGGGAAAATATTTGTCGGGTATTATAGTCGCGGGGGTGGATCGCCGGAGCTCGGAACGTGTAATTAAATAAGATTAGTTCGTTTAAGCGAGATAATCTCGACTAGTAGCGCGCGGATTGGATCGAGATATCAAAGTTTGCGTTTCGATCTTTTAGGTTTACTGAAATATACGGGTTTTAGGGTATCTCGCGAAACGAAGTGTTTAAGGTTAATTAATCGCGCCGTGAATCTGGCATGGAGTATTGTGATTTCGTATTTTATTCAGCGAGATGCTCTAGCTCCAAAGTTCCCGTCCAATCGCGCCCCGTTTCCATTTCATTGGAATAAAACCCTGGAACGTGGTACGAACGCCCGAAGAAATCGCGCACCAGCAAATCGATGACGATTTACGACGAGCGTGATTGAACCACTAAAAAGGCGAGCCATCTCGTTGCGAGTGAAGTGCGCAGCATCTATACGGCAACGTAAACATCCAGCCTATACCGGCTCGTCTGCGTGATGAGATCGGAAAGTATACAGACGACTGCCCCCCCGTGAACGGTCTTCACCCCCTGTCGACTTTACTTTGCCACCGACAGTGGACAGGTTGTGTTTATCGTGAAAACACGGTGGCACGCTGTTGTGCGTGCGGTCGTGTAGCGGACGCGTGTGTTGTTTAAGGGCGTGTGCAGCCCTGCAACTTGATGGCGCACACGGCGTGAAGACGCGGGTTTTGATCGATAACATTTCCCGGTAATCACAAATCGTGAGATTGCCGGCGTAGCCTTGTCGGCCGACGCTATCGCGCAATGCTAGAAGCAAATTTTTACCGAGACACAATCCAACGATTACACGACTTCATTATCTCATTCCAAAATCTATAATACCCACGCTTGAGAACGTACTTAATAATTCATTCGTTCAAACCACAATTCATTCATCAAACTCTAATTTCCCCAATATCTCAATGAAACAAGTATAATTCCATAAATAATCGAGTTCCAAGGAATTAATATCCCCGCCAAATAGACCATATATAAAGGAACTCAAACTAGCCACGGATAACTAGCCCGAAAATAAATTTCCCTCGGAACGATTTACAACCCACCGGCGGCTAGCAGGAAGAGAAACATCAAACCCGCGCGAGAGGCGAGCCGCTCGCCTCCCGCTCGAAATCATCACGTCCATTTGTCCCGGCACTCGGGAACTCGGAAGAGTAATATTTTGCCGGGGTGGGGCGCGAGGATCAGAAACAGATAAGTCGAATGTTTTCTCATCGAGAAAACCGCGGGCCACTCGTCGGTCTGTCGACCACGTTTCATGCCCGGCCAGACTCGTCACCGTCAACCCCTTTCGCAGCCGAGGCCGAAAGCGTGCACTTGACTCGTCGCTGGCCCAGAACACCGCCCGCACCCCCGAAAGGCGCGCCTAACAGCCGAAGGTAACGCGAAGTAACGCCTCGTCCCCTAGCCGAGCTATTCCGGCTGCTGGCTCGCGCACGAACAATATTTGCGGAGCTCTTATTCCCGCACTTCCCAACCCCGTAAGCGCCGCTTCAACCGCCTCTCCCGCCGCGCTCCCTGGCCGAGCCAACGTTTCTCTCCCCTTCAACCCGCCGCCACCCCTCGTCGTGTGCACCGGCAACCACCTACCTATCTACCTAATAATGATTTTACGTTACGCCGTGCCGGTCCCCGGGGAATCCGACGGTGCCGCACCCTTATTGCACATGGCCCGCGCTTACGACGAAGGGAATACACCCGAAGGGGGAGGGGATTGAAAAGAGAGAGGACTGATTATCATTAGCAGCGCCAGTCCCAGAACACCAGCCGGTTTACTGCTTGACGCACGTACGCGGGCACGCCACCTCGACTCTGCTCTGGGATTTCGCTGCCACTGGGTTGCGGGGGTTGCTGGTCGGTCGATGATCGAGGATTTTCATTGAAGTAGTTAACGGAAAGATCTTGGAACTTGGGTTCTGGGAACTAGTGATTTGAGGATTATTTTGTTGGGGTGATTTGATGTTTGAGAGATGGGAATGTTTGTTGTTGTATGATAGAAGAAAGACAGTTTTATGTTATACTGCGAGGTATAAGATTCTAGAAAGAGTTTAGAGGGTGGTTATCTGAGAGCATTACGGCGAAGGTATACTAATCTAAATTCGTCAGGGATCTTCCGAAAGAAATTAATAAGGAACATGAAAACCGGACATTTTCAGGGACAAAATTTAAAGGGACTTTCCAGGGAAATCAAAAAGATAAAGGAGGGTGAGCGCTGGACCTCGTTCCACGGTAATGCCGCGGCAAGCGTACCGTGAACGGCATCGGCCGCCGGGATCGCTGAATTTTTCATCCCCCTTGAATAATGAATTAAATGTTCCGTGGCGACCCCCGAGTAGGCTGGGTGCGTGAAGGTGGACAGAGGACTAGCGAACGACACGGTCCCATAGGCTGTTACGAGCCTACGGAAGTGACCATCGCTTTGTATCCTCTTTCGCCGAGTCCTTTCTTCGGTTGTTCCAGAAAGGAGGGTGAACGGGAGGAGAAGGGGGGGTTGGGTGGCGAATGGCAGTCACAGCGACGAAGAGGAGCAGGACGAGGAGGAGCATGGGGGAGGACAAGGTGATAATTTGATAAGACATTGGGAGGGTTGCCATGGCGACGATACAAAACCCAGACCCCTGACTGGAACCTCCTTCGGGTGTTCTCGCTCGCTTCCACCCTCGAAGGACCTACTCCTTCTTAAGACAGCGTCGCTCCATCAGCTTGGAGAGACATCCGAGTGTCAAGTGTCCCAACACCGTCGCCCATTCAGTCGGGGCTACCTAAGGGATGCCACCTTGTCTGGTCTTGAACTTCGGACGGGGACGAGCTGTCGATGGCAAACAACCCCGGGAAATGTTTGCCGTGACACATCCCTCGCAAACTTCTCGGTTTTCTATTAATATTTAGTGATCTCTGTGCTTCAACTGTATCTAGGAATTTTTCTATTTGCGAACGATTGCACTGGAGAGATAAAAGGTTGAGAGGTTTGAGGGTAGATAATATACTAAACTAGAGAATTCATATTTTCCAAGTTATTAATAATAGTTTCTTATGGAGATGTTTATGTTCAATGGTTGTATAGGAACCAGAATAAGGGAAGAATTCATTTTCCTGATTAACTGCCGCGTTTCAGTGACAACCTTGTATCGATTGCGGTTCGTGGAAACCTTGGCATGAATTGCTTGAATTTTTACGCTCGTCCCCGCGTTTCCCACGAATATAATAGGAGGTTTGATCGCGGAGAGGTAATACGAGACGATGCACTTCTGGAGAAATCCATACACGAGATATTTATTTCCGGGGGACCTGTCCGTGTTTCCCACGGACGATTCTCGTCATAGATAAATTCCATTCGAAGATTGGGGCAATGTCACTTCTCCGCCGTGAGTGGGAAGAGAGAGCTTCACGACGAAGGAGGACAGAGCGATGACCAACCCCGAAAGACATTACGATTATTACCGAACGGAGCTCGCAATGAGGGGTGCTCGCCACCCCTAAAATGCACTGGCCACATGTGCCACGATCCGGCGGGATCCTCTTGCCTCACGGCAAGACTCCGTCCAGACGGTTAACTGCATTATTTATCGTACGAAGTTGCTCTGCTAATTGATCCACGCCATCCCCGGCAGCGATTAACGGGGACGGGGATTCTGGAATTGCGCGATTACCGACGTGGCGAGTCGACGAGCGTCGTTTCACATTTTTTCACGTACTCAGAATTGCCGTACATCAATCACATTGTCCAAAGAACGGATCGATCTTTTTTATCTGATATGTACTGATAACTTGTCGTTCCTCGAATCTCATCGATGGTTCCGAACGCCAAATGAAAAAGCGAAATATCACTCACCGGTGTGAATATAGGTGTGCTTCTTCATGTCGCTCTTCTGATGGAATCTCTTCCCGCAAAACTGACATGGGTACGGTCTCGTGTCCGAGTGTATCAGTAAATGGGTAGTCAAAGTGCTGGAACGCTTGAACCCCTTGCCGCACTGCTTGCACTCGAACACCTTCTCCGCGGAATGCACGGCTCTGTGTTGCGTCAGGCTGATCTCGTGGCCGAAGGTTTTGTTGCAGAGCTCGCAGGCGAACGGTCTCTTGCCGTTGTGAGATCTCCTTGCGTGCACCTGAAATTACGATTAAGAGCCCTCTACAAGTTGAATACACCACGATTTCGATAAAAACGCTACGATACTATCCACTCTCCAAAATTCTCCACGTATTTCCCATTCCTCGTTTCCCAATTTCGAAACGTTCACGTAACACGAAACTTCCGATCTCAACCTCCTCCGCTCCATCGGTCGATCCAACCAAAGAATTACAAACAAGAGATTCGCAGATCCTCCGAAGACTCACCTCGAGACCATGCGGCGTGCTGAACATCTTGTCGCACTTGACGCAGCTGTAAACATCGCCTAGCGGGTGGGTGTGATGCAGCCCGTGGCCGGTGTGGGTCGAGTGTAGGCCGGGGTGGGCCGGGTGGACGCCTCGCAGCAGCGGGTGCAAGTGCGGGGGTAACAGATGATGAGGCAGCAGATGGGGGTGCAGGTACGACAGGGGATGATGGGGATGAGGCGGCAGCAGTCCACCTTGAAGATGAAGGGGCGGATAGAGCATCGTGGAGCCGGGCGGCGGAGGGTGCGCGCCGATCGACGCGGTGTCCCGATGGGGTGAGGCGTTCTGCAGGTGAGCAGACGGAGGGTCAGGCCTCAGCAGAGCGGAGACGCTGAACGTGTCGCCGGACTTCTTGGGCGGGTTCGAGGCCGGCGAGGTAGCGATGCTCGTCGGCGACGGCGAGGAACGGGGCGGACTCGACGCCTGATCGCGGTCATCTTCGTCGCCGACTTCTTCCACGTCGACGTCCACTTCTTCGTCTTCGACGTCGACGTCCGCCTCGCCGTCCCGCCGATCCGACGGCGGCGAGTCTGGACACGGCGAGTGAGACGGCGACGGACTCCTGGTTGCCGGCGAACCGACTAGACGACCCACTCCGAACGAAAGACGTTCTGGAAGAAGATCGCAGAATTGTTTCGTATATTCGATTTGTTTACTTATCGGGAGAGAGCTTTTAATTAGTTTCATTACGATTGCTGGAGATTACTGCTGGAGATTTATTGTTAATTATTCGCCGGTTGATAACGGGATTTAGGGTTTAGTGTAAGTGCGCGATTATTTTGGGGATTACATGGCGATAAATTGAAAATAGGAGTTGGTCGAAGTGGAGCTTCGTATCGGCGAGCCTTGAACGGCTTCTAATGATTGTAACGATTCGACTCGGAGATTATTCGGTGTACAATGCGTGATACGGAATAAAAGAATCGCGAGATGGTAGAAACTTTCTACAATCTTGTAATTAGATTAGTTCTGGAGAAGTTCCAGGAGTAGTCTACGACGAACGTCTCGCTACGAATGAAAAATGACGAAATCGTTTGGATGGCAAATTAATTTCTCTTATACGCAGTAAGCAACATTGTCTGATAATCACGCCTTTATCATCGCCAGGGGATTAACAAAATCTGAGACAATTAAGATTGACGCGACGATTCCTCGGACACCGAGGAAGCCGGGAAAAAAGAAGTAGGAAAGATAGGTGCAGGGGGAAGGTTGACAAGTCACGTATAGAGGACACGTGAAATAGGAGACACGCCGGGAAGGATGCAGGATAAGGTAAATTAGGTTTCCACCGGCGGAAGAGCCCGGCCGAATGAGATTTGAGTCACGTACCGGCTCCTTTTTTCTGACTGATCTGACGGAAGGGTACGGAAGGCTAACGAGCCGCCGCGATGAAAAATCGAAGCTTCCTCCACACGTTTCCCTCCTGTGCACGCCTCCGAATCCAAAATCCAGCAAAATTCCATTGAGACGTCACGAAAGATAATCTTGCCTCGGCCGCTCGGAATCGCGAGCCAGAAGCGAGATCGATCGCTCGATGGGAGAAGGATTAACTTTCGTAAATATAGCAGGCCACTCGTCGCGGCTACTCCACTCCACGAGTGCAGATAAACCGAGCGAGGAATTTAAATCTGAACAATAGTTGCGGGCGCGTCGCCGATCGATCATCGGACTCGATAATCGCCGGAGTGGCGACTTTTATTGGCGGGGCCAGATCCGACGTCGTCTCGGCGCGGCCGAAAATCGTGAATGGTATTTCTAATAATCGTTGCCGGTCCCGACGGTCGTGATTTACGAGGAGGTTCATACCGGATCGTGTCATTGAAGAATCAAAGGGGGGCTGCGAAAGGGGGCGCGCACCCTCCGCAGCGGTGATATCAATCGAACGATCGCTGGATGCACGGTGTACCGCCCAGTATATTATATTTATAATCCGTACGCGTGACACGCGGTCACGTGCCTGGCTGTATGATGCACCGGCGCTCGGTTAATCGCGTTTAAAGCTCGCCACGATCCCCGGTGGAAGGGCCCGATTATTATCGCGTCTCCCGGTGGCCTCGCAATCGAATCAAAATACGACAGGAGTCTCGGCAGGCCGCTCTAATGTAATGAGAAACGCCCGCGAACGCGTCCACCGGCGAAAAGAACTGCGGCAGCGTGTGCGAGGCTACGGCGGGAAGTAATTGTTAACCGGGGGCGTGGATTGAACAAATTTCCCACCTTCCAAGGGACCGGAGACATATTCTTTACCGTTATAATGTGTCTCGTTCGGTTGGTTTCATCCGTCGAATCATGTATTTCCGAGAGAAATAAGGATTTATCATGGGACTTGATGCAATTTTGGAAATGTTATATATAGAACAGATTAACGTCACTCGAATATTACTTAAAGTTTCCTTTCTCTGAACCGATAGATTAAAGATTGCACGAGGGACACGTGACGATCATTTCAACCGTCCCCAAATTTTCTCTGTTTTATCAACGGAGATAGCGGCAGTAGATGGTAATCGGTTACAAAATGTTAATACTCTATTTCCGTGGCTTTCCGAGTGAAATCGTGATACAAGTACAGATTAATCTGTGCGCGGCGTCTGTTGTCCGAGCAGATCGCTTCGATTCGAGATTGAAGAGCTTGCTTTTCTTGACAGCTGGCTCATTAACAGGCTGCCGATAAATATAATGTTAACACTTGATTAAAAATACCGCGGACGGTGATCACAACAATGTTCGGCGAGTAAATTTCGACGCTTCGCGGGCGAGATTGCGATCGATCGGGAAACGATTACGCGAAATCTTGAATGAGACGCGCGAGCGCGAGCGCGCGCGCTGCGGTGAAATCGCGGGAAGCGAAAAGGTGGCGCGCTAAAATGGAAAAGAAAAAGGTGAAGGAAGTCCGGACAGATGTGTGACTCGGGAACGACATAGGAAGAACTGCTTACGCAAATGCCACGTCTGGCCCCGCTGGAATGCGGTAAAAACCGTGCGGTGCAAACCGGCGAGAAAAAGCATCGCCATTCGTGCCGACCGACCGACCGTCCGGCAGATGGGTTACTTTGGTCCGGGTTCGGCAGAGCTTGCACACGCTCTCTCTATCTCTCCCGTCCCTCCCATGTACGCAATGCGCTCACGTGAGCGTACATCTGGAGCTGCCTCATGGATGATTCGCTTCACGTTTCCAGAGACGTTCCAGTATCGCGAACGCGAAGAAACTTTCGAAAAAATATCGCCGCGAGGAACCGCGTCTCTCGGGGTTGTTGTTTTATGAGAACGGAAGCCATCGGTGTTTTATAATGTGGGACACAGGGGCTGGTTAGAAGGAAACGAGCGGAAAAATCTACTCCCGGAATTTCCATGCCGCCTGAGAGCAGTTTTAGTCTCTTACAACGAACACGTTAATTTTTCGATTGAGGATATTGTTTTTTGGATGATTTTAGCTTCGTCGCTCTCTTGTGTTGAATTATAGATCTAAAGATGCTGAGATAGATTTGTATATTGGTTTATAGAAATTGGAAATTCTTTCGAATCAGTGAGGCTAAAGTGTTCAGTGGTTAACAACTGTGCTACAGCTGGTCGCGTAAACGTTCGACTAATCCAGGAAACGATTCGCTAAGAAATAATTTGACGGTAAAAGGAAACAATCTTTAGATTACCGTCGGCCGTAAACACGATGCAATTCGTCGAACGGCATCTAGCGAGCCGGATTTGCCTGGAAGTAGCAAGATAATTTACAGAGACGCAACGATGGATCCGCAAGTAGCATCAAGGAGTCGACTCGTGACAAGGGATGACAATGACGGCGATGCCGAAGATGCTTGTGGACGTGGATTAATAAAGGAAGGCCAAGCCGGGGGAACAATTAGATCGAGTTAACGGGCAACTTTAATCTTCTGTCGTCCGTCAGTCGTTTACTGCGTAGCGATCTGCCGCTATTAAAGCCGTTACACACTTCACCGTTCTGGACCCCTTCCGTCCTGCTCGCCGGACGAAAGAAACGCTGACGACTTGCGCCTCAAAGGCGGCACCAACCGGCTCGCCGATGTGGGTGTTTTCAAAAACGGATTTCTCATCCTCGTGTCACTGCCCGTTTAAACCTAATCCTGTCCGCGAACGGCGGAGCATTCTCGTAAGAATGTTCGACGGGAAAAAGGAGGACGAGTGACGAAGGGCTCCAGCATCGATGGAAACCACGAGGATTACCAGATTCCCGAGGAAGATACCCCGAAGCTGCCGGACCACTATGTCAACGATCCGTCGCTTTCACCAGGCTCTCATTGCCCTCTGCTATCAATCAAAACTATCCTGTCCCGGTCAGAGAGAATTCGTAATTGAAGACAGATTTATGAGCGAACGCCCGGTATACCCTGCTACTTCGCTGACCGAATATCAATTATTTAATTGGACGTTGATGGAGAACCTTTGATTCGCGGACGGCGTACAATGTTCTCTATCTAAAACCTTGTACGATATAATAAACGATACGATGTAATAAATATAAACAGTTTTAACGATATCATCTAACCTCGGGCGAAATCTATATTTAAGATACAATCGATAAAAGAAGCAAATATCCGAATGATTTAATATAATTGTTATATATTCTCGAATAAATTCCGTCGCGACGTTATTTTAATAAATGATCAAGGTACTTGAGAGCCCACCCCATAAGTTAAGGGTTAATTTTCGCTAGGAGCCCGCGTGATTGAACGAGCCCGAGGAAACCAGGAGGCGACTGGAACGGCTCAAGCCGACGCCAGGGGAGTGCGCGCAGCCTGCTATAGGTGGACGTGACAGCAAATGAATGGCCACGTGCACTGGGAAGGAGTCGGAAGAGGTCGGTTGTATGCGCGAGCGTTTAACATGACAAGATGTTACTAATTCAGGGTAGGTAGAACTGAGAGACCGACCGTCGTACGAGCACAAAGGGGCCGACGGCACCGAATCCCTGTACTGCGCCTCTAATCTGCTCCAATTGGAACGGTAGGAGTTAGAAGGGCCGATGTCCCTCCGCGGGTATGACGCGTGCTACCATTTATCCCAATCATCGGACGACCGGTCGTTCTTAACGATCGACAAATAAAAACTACTCGTCATCCGGGCTGAGGAGGAAGCCGAACGTCGCAAGCAACCGTTCATCTACACCTTTGCCTCGATCGGTCGGTATGGACTTTGTCGTATTAAAACACCATTACACAATGCAATTCCTAATTTCCTGGACCGACATCTTAGAATCTTAAGAACTCAATTTTCATTAAATTTCATTATACTGTATCGATCTATCGAGCTACTGTCCAAGTTATCTACAGAAGCTCCTAACGTTCAAGAAGTCTGCTACGACTTTGAAATCAGGAATAATGAAGCTATATAATTATACTTCGATATTGAAGTACTGAAATTAAATTAAGTTTCCATAGAGAAAGATAATACAGTCTATGTCAATGGAACAATCGAGAGTCTTCAAATTCTGCAACTCACCTGAATGACTCTTGGACAGAGACGGCAAGCTCGTGACATCCGCGGCGTTCCCAAAAGGCGCCCACAGTCTGGGGAACATTAAACGAACGTTGCATCCGCCTGAAACAAGAGGAAGAACCACCATGAGACCGTCCGCATCGTCGCGGGACCTGATTCTTACGTTACAGGGAAGAGCGAATGGTCGAGCAGCCATCGGGACGTTTCACGCATCATTATTCGCGCCGCCGCGAACGCGAGAGCGACGTCTCAAGCCGAACGAAATTTAGTATTCCCTTTCCGTAGGAGAGATCAACCCCTCGACAAGAGCGTCTTTATTAGAAAGAAGGGAGACCCTTCTCTATTTATCAACCTTGGCCATTACTCGCTCTCTTTCCGGCTGCATTCCAATCCGCGGCATCCGCCATTCGTTTCCCGGGGGCTGCTCTTTGATCGGCGGCGATAGCAGCCCGGAATTCGAACTCTCGCGACTGCAATCCCGCGATGGAGGCGAATCAAAGTGCACCGACGACCCGAATTCTCCCCGTCGCAACGAGATATGCTCGATGCTCCCCGAACGACAAAGGAGACGTCCGCGAAACGTAGAGCGATCCTGGAACCCGTCGAACTCCGATGACTTTCCGGCTTATCGTCGCAATTGCGTTTCTTGGAATCGGCACGGTCGGCCAAGAACCGATTAAAATCGAACGGTATCGGTGCACTTATTCGGTGAAAAAAGGGACTCGGTGGAAGGGAGAGAAAAAGGAGCGAAGAAATGAAATCCGTAATCCGGGCAATATAGGACCGGCCGGGATAATCTGAGATAGCGGACAGAGATTAGCGCGCCACGCCGCAAAGGCTATCTCATTCTCGCAGGATTATCAGAAATAAATCATATTTTCCTATAAAGCGAGCACACCACGCGGCCCAGCTAGATAAGATGACCAGGCGGCGGCGGCGGCGGAGGCGGCCGGGGTATAACAACATTGATACCGCGGCCCGTGTGTACACACGATGCAGGTAACGCGTGTTTGTTGCCGCGTAGCATCGCCGATATCGGCGTTTGCCCGCCTTTGCGACGCTTATCCTGCGCGTCTCCTCGCTTTTCGCGGCTATCTTTCGGTCGTAAATCTATAAACGGTAAATCCTAACAGCGTGATTTCCGCAGGAACAACGTGCAAGCGATTCCTCGGCGTACACCTTGCGCGTACGTGTCGTAGGTTCCTATTTTTCCGCGGCGCGATAGATGGGGATTAGCGGTGCATTATCGTCGTTGCGGTGTTAATCTGCAACCTTGTTGCGAGAACGACGAGCGAAAGGGACGTTCACATTTGCGGTCGGACGATAAAGGAGAAATTAGAATTATCTGCGAAACGTTTAAAGAAATCTTCGCTTATCGTTGCAATAACTGTACCGTACTTTACGTGTTTATTGAAGATTCCCGAGATTAGAATTCGCAACATTTTTCCTATCTTCCTGAATTAGGATTAATACTCGTACAAGGTAAATCCCTAGAGTTCTGATGCAAGCTAAATAGAAGAGCCTTCGCGGTTGAATCGCTAACTGGATACAATCAACGGCGAATCAAAAGACCCACCCCCCAAACGAGACTCTAAGTACATCCTCAAGAAACCACCGACCCTCTCCTGCCCATCACCTGGCAATTACCGGGTTAAATCACTTAGGCCGAATCGTGTCGACAGGCAGGCCGGGTTGATATTATTGCGTTAGCTATTAGACCGATTAGCAGTATTAGTATAGGCAGCCGTCTAATGCCGTTTCATCCCCTCTTCACCTGTTGAACGGCGGTGGTGGTCGTGCGCCCTTCACGCACCTGCAAGCGCCCACGCAGATATACACGCAGGAGGAGCACGAATGCCACAGGAACACGCGTCTCGACGCGGTCGTGTTGGTTTCACGCGGCCGTACGGGAGGACCAATGGTGGTGGCCCGTGTTCGGGACCACCGATCGGTGCAACGCCGGCGAAAAGAGAGAGCGAGAGAGAGCGACACGCGTGCAGGCACACGCACACGCACACACGTGACGGGGGCTCAGGTGTCGGCGCGTGAATTCAAGGGCGTGAACGGTGCAAGCGCGGTGCAGGGATAATAGGCAGGTAATAGATAGCATGATGACAGGCGACAACGGGATGAATGTCAGGGGGTGAGACGCGGATACGCGCGGGGGATGCAGGAACGATTGGTTTTCATGCGATCGGGGGAAACGGGATTCTGTTACACGCTGCATTTCATTCTTGGATATGATGCTTTGGGGTTGTCGCTGAAGATTACTTTGAATTTGAGGATTACTTTCAACGCGCCGAGGAAATTTTATGGAATTTCGATTGGAGACTAACTTTCTTGCGTGGCTCCCTTTGGTGTGTCGATTGGAATTCTATGGCGAGTTCTTGTTAAGTTTATTAATTGAGCGCTGGGGTTGAAAAGAATCTTGTATTATGGATTTATGGGGTGCTTATGGACGAAGATGCTAATGTAAAAGTGTTCTTAAATTTTAGGAAACTAGAGATGAATAATAATTATTAGTATCGAATGAATGTTTAGCTGTTACAAATCAACCCCATATAATCTCATTATCCTTAACTCGTAACCTAGAATGATCAATCCGCTGATTGAAAATTCGGTTTAAACGTCGCGTTACATCGGATGCTATCAAAATTTCAAAATACAGTAAATCGAAGTATTCATTAAAACTAATTTTAAAAGCAATGAATACCGGCGAAAATCCACGCTGATCGCCGGAGGATTGACGGTCTAATTTATATTTCTATCTGAAATCAATTAACCTGTCTCGCTTCGCACGCATTCCGGGCTCTGACAGCCCTCGAAATCCCTGCCCGTTTGACAGGTCCGAGCGGCGACGTAACTGCGATTTCAAATCACACGCACCTGATCTAATTTAGCGACGCGCGTCGAACGGCAATTCCATCGGCGCTCCATAATTAATAATCATCGTTACCCTTACCGTCGGTTTCCACGGGTAGCTGCGGGTTCTCCTGCAGGTTCTCATTGTTATTCGCTTCCGGAGACAGCGCTTGTTGATGCACCAACGCGGACGCCTGTTTCGGCTTGACAACGCGGAAAGCGGACGCCTCGGCGACACCCCTGCGCGAAAAGTCCAGAGGACCCACCCCTACAGGCGAGTGTTGCTGCTGTACTTCCATCATCGTGCTCGGTTAGCTCGATCACCGTTTTTAAAACAATAGTGCCTTCACTGTACACGACATCCGCCCCCTGGACCCGCGACCGTCTTATCACCACCGACCCGAGTGTCAATACAAAACCATACACCCTCTCCTTCCTCGAGAATCTACCAACAACAAAACACGTCTGTCCGTAATCTCCTCGGATCCCTGTCACTGACACTGTTCCCCTTCGATACCTCCGATCCTCCACCCCTTCATCAGTCCAGTTTCATCGGAGACGAGCTTCAACCACCCCTCCGGTCGATCGTCAATGTAAAATGACAACCGTCTTCCAGTTTCGGAATGTTTTCAATGTACGTTCACTGCGGTTCTATTCGAAAAACACGACGTATCTCTCGTAGAACGATGTTCCGGCTATCGGTAGACACTGATTTCCGTGCGGCCCATCGGCCGGACAGGTCAGGAACGGCGAGCACCGTCACCCGGGGATGTGAGAGACGTTATAGCGGGTGCCTCGACGCCGACTGCTGTTAACGGGTCTGATAGCGGAGGAACTCCCATGCGATGACGGCCGAAAGTCGCGAGTTAGGCTGGCGAGAAAGAGAGAAGGGATGACGGAAGGGGGGGAGAAAGAGAGAACGCCGCGCGGACGTTCGGCTCCGCGGCGAGCGAAAGGTGGGAGAGAGATAGAGGGACGCGGAACACCCACACAGACGTTGGATGCACGCCGGGATTTTCGATGGAGGCTCCGCCTACCGGCCACGCCTCCGTTGTCCCTACTCCACCCCCACGGTACCACTCACCATAGCACCGACGAGGCACACCGACTCGCCGCTTTGGATACCGCCGCGAGACACAAACGAACACCCCGGCGTGCCCGGCTAGCGCGATACCTCGACCGCCGTACGGTGTATTGGTGGCTGCACGTAGATACAAGGGGGATGTGTTTATCCGTTTGCCAGGTGGCGGCGGACACCGGGGGTTGCGCTGGGGCAGGCGACTGCACAGACACACGGCGACGAACGCGACGCGACGCGACGCGAAGCGCCTCTCTCTCACCTCCGGCCAGCAGCATTATGTGGAACCACTCGACCACCCTGATTCTACTCTTGACTCCACTGATTGATATTTGTGCGCGCCCCCGCTCACGCGCCGGAAATAAATGTAGATGACCGGACCGTTTATGTTCGAGCGAGAACGGAAGGTGATCTGGAGGAACTCGGCTGTTTGCCGGTGTTTATAGGCTTCGAGCAGCGGAGAAGGGTTTTTACCGTTTCCATCGGAAAGTTGGGATCTGTATTGGAGGGTGGTAGATTAAATAGGTGGAGTATGAAGGAGAGTTTAAGGAATGAGAATCTTTGGAGCAGATTGTATTTATCGGTAGAGGATTTTGAAGATATCTGGAGGTAAGGGGCTTGAATGGGAATTTCATTCTGATTATGATTGTATTGTTTTAGTCGTTGATCGCGTAGATTTGTGAATTCCTTCCTCGAGGTTTCTGGTTAGAAAGTTTTTCTAAGAGTTCGTCACTTTGGTAAGAGTGTAAGCAATTTTCTCGCGAAGATAGAGCAGCCCAGCGACACCCCTCGGACAGTCTACGCCCAGAAGACGACGATGCGAATGAGTGAGTATGATTGATGCGGTTTGTCGTTCTCTCCTGACGCCTAACATCTCGTCCTGCTTCGTAACTACACTCCTGACGACACTCTGTTCTTTTATGAGCTTGCCTCCTTCGAGGATAAGCCTCTTACCGTTCAAATGGGGGTGAGTTCGAAGAGGAATTGTGGAGGAACGATGCAATTCAAATTTTTAATAACTTTCAATAGATTCCTCAACTAAAATCAACTAAATTGGTCTAGAAATAATAGCCTGCGTGTCTAATTACATCGTCTGCTGTAAATATATTAAACGTTAATTCAATATCACTAGATTATGACACAATATTTTATCAGAACTCAAAGTAGAGTGATAAAAACATAGCGTAATTGATACACTCGTATCTAATTATTATACTGGAAGTAAGTTCTCAGTACAACGACCCTATTTCAAGTACAAATAGTCGAAATAAATTCCTATTGCTGGTCGATTGTTCCTGTTTACGAGAAGAACAACCGACGTGGAAAATTCTTGGCCGACGATAACCCGTCCAGACCGTGAACAGCATGCAATAAACAGTTAATCGCTTAAGCTGTAGATTGCACGGATGACAGTCGTTCGATCCCGACTCCGTCATAGATCCCAGTTCGAAATAGTGCGTAATTGGAGTTCGGTAAGGCCGAAAATCTCGAAGAGGACTCGATATTATGGTGACGAATCGCCACCCAGGAAAGGACACGGCGGTGGCGGAAGGTGGGAATCACGTGAGCTGCAATGACAACTGCGCACTCGCTTCGAATTCCTTTCCCGAGAAAATCGATGCATTCTTCAAACTCTCCCAATCCTCGAATCATCGATAATCCCATACCTCTGTATTTTTTCCCCGACTCGCTCGCTCTTCTCGCCGGGAAGAAAGAGGGACGAGCCGAATTAATGCGACGTGATTGATGCAACGGATGCAATTTCCGCATACCTCGGTGCTCTTAAGCGCTGATAATACGGCTCGCGTAAAAATTCTATGGCCCCCGTGGTCTGTCCCGTAGAAAAACAAGGGAACGCGTTTATTCGAGCTTTCCATCCAGTGCGTTATTTCAGGAATAATTCGCTGAAAACTGTCGGACTATTTCGTGAATTCGAGAGTATATCTTAACGTGAAATATGATATGGATCTTGATACGCGATCGAGAAGTATGTTGTTTGCATGTTTTCAATCACAACCGATCATATTTTCCAAATCGATTGCGAGAACAATATTACAAGATGTTAACCAAATGAAAGAACGCAGAAAACTCTTGAGTACACACTAGATAAAATCGATAATACCTATTTCACGCGAAATTATTTGCTTTACGATAGTGATCATAGAGAGATAGCGCTCGGAGAGAGAAAAAAAATGGTACTTGTCCCGGGGAAAAATCAGAGCAATGGCTGTCACATGGGGAAAAAATTGTCCACAAATCCAAGCTGAAATTAAAGTGCAATCATTCTCGGGGAAGCGAGGAAAAAAGCGCTTTATCGGTCTCCTTATTCACGGGCATGGTATTAATGTACAGATCGGCCGAACCTGCCCATGTTTGTTTGCACAAGTATATACCGGACGTGATTTACAGGCTGCAAGATAACTTAATCCATCGGCACACAGATGGACATCTACGAGCGGTGTAGCGGTCGTTAAGTACGTCTCACACCGTCGCGACAGTTGTTCGTCGAATCGTCGGGCATTGTCTGTGATAGCATAGCCTCCGATCCATCATGCTCACAACACGAGCCACTTGAAAACCTACAGAGAATCTCTACGGACAAAGAGACTGTGAAATCGTGTTGATATATACCTGAACACATCTAGATGCTTATCGAGGAATAAAATGCTCTTATAAAAATTCCTCGGTGTATTTTAATTGCATTAATCCCTTGTCTTCTTTCGAACCTGAAGTATTCAACATTATGAAGAAGTAATTAAATAACGATTAGATATTAATGGCCCGATAGGAGAAGACGGCATTTATTTCTTGTTAAGTTTTATGGCCGGATAATCTTGCAGAGTATCACCGTCGTCAAAATGTAAAGCAAGGGAATTTAGACTTTCATTTTTCATTTATAACATCTAGTACGGTAGACCGAGGCGAATCGAATTCGTTCAGGTTTAACAGCGAAACACTAATAGTTGAAACTGACAATGAACATTTCTTTTTATAAATTTGTCATTAATAGAATATCGGTGAATACAATATTTAAAAATGAGAAACCTTTGTTTCATATAGAAAAAACTGGAGATCCAGTTCACCCAGCGAGGCGATTCGCCTCGCTCTACCACTTTGATTCTTTAATGTACAATATCATTCCTTCCGACGAATCAAATTTAATAAAATTAGTGGCCACAAAGGACGAACGGACGCGTCGTTCCACTGGCGAATCGTGTCCACCTTGACAAAGTAGTTCAATGTGCCGGATACAGGGGACGGAGCGGCTGGCGCCACGAATTTAACACTTGATTGTCCCGTCGAACAATTGTTTCGCCGGTATTATAGCAGCTTCGCTCGTGGTCTCCTCGGACGGGCAGACGGGTGTACGGCGCACGAGTGAGTCACTCCTCAATCAAGGAGAAAACATATTAGCGATTGTCTTTTACCAATTGGTGCCGATGTGGGTGATGGTTATCGCCGGTTTGAAAACGATACGTGTGGAACGCCGAGGGCACCAATAAATTCGTGATATTGCTCACGGGCTCGTAGTGGAACGCATGCTGCGGCATGTGGGCAGAGAACGCGTGCGTGCGTGCGTGCGTGCGTGCGTGCGCGTGTGCGCCGACGAAACCCGAAGATTACGTATCAAACGCAGATGGACCCCTGCGGGTAGGCGAACGATCGTTTTAAAGTAAACGTACGCTATCTGGAAACGGGTGGGTCGTAATTGGGAAGAATTGCTCTGAATTAAACCGATTAATCCGGGATCGCTCGATGAATCTCGCGTTGCCCTCCTATCGACCGATCGGTGATTTAGCGATCATCAGCCAGTCGATTTCGAGCCGATACGCCGAAAACACGGTAGCGTTTTAATCGATAAACGTCTTTCACTGACGAGCATAACGCGACGGAATGAATCAGTGGGACTGTTTTAATACTTCCGTCGAAGAGTTTAATAACGACGGACCGATGACGCGGAACGTGACTAAACAGAACTGTTCCGCGAATATTGCTGATTATTTGACAGATAACTCGATGGCAGAGGTATCTACAGAATTTTGATCGTTATGTTTCGATAGTGATTAGGTGCGAAATCTGAGATGGACCATTCTGTCGAATACCATAGGCGAAATAGAACCTATTACTATGTTCATTATATAATTCTTAATATATAGAGCCTGTAAATATATTTGATATACTCCGATATCTTCTGCTCGATAACATATTCGAGTATTTTATTCAAGCAGTCTTCGCCGTTCTTTCGACACCCCGTTGCTCTAATATTTAACACGTCCGAGGGACATATTCGCGGACCGAATAACAATGAACGTCACGAGGTGAACGGACGTCGAGCAGAAATTTCGAAACCGATAATTCCGCTCGATGATCATGCATAACGGGACAAATAATGTCAACAACATTACGAGTGCATTAACGCAGCTTCCCCGAATCGCTGTCGCTTATCTAATCTCTCCACGAGATCGGTGGGAAACCGACGCGATTTAAATCCGCGAAGATCGATGGATTTCGACGTCGAGGCGGCGATACCGTTCGCGCAGACGAGCGCGCGCGGGGATCAATTAAACCGGGAGTCATTGATCACGGCGGCGGCGGCGGGGCCGTTGTTCCGACGAAAACAGTGCCGTTCGGCTTTTGCGTGGTTAGCTCGCGATGGGAACAAAGCTTTTCAGCTGAGTTCGCCTCGCATCATTCGCGTGACTCGAGGAATCATTATCGGCACGCTGGGTTACTGTAACAGCTAAACAAATCAGCCGCGCG